ACTAACCACAACTGCAGCTGTGGATTTCAGATATGCTCAGAGCTTTAACAGAAAATATGAGAAAAGGTACTCATTAGATACTGTAGCTCCAAAGGGTGAAGAAATGGGGGATGGTGCCATACATGCCAGTTTCCTCTGGGGTCCACATTCCTTCCTAACAGATTTAGTTCCAAAAAAATAATCAAGAGCCAGTGAAGACAGCAGTCTACCAGCGTAACAGAACTAGAATTCCCTTTCATCTGCAAAAACTGACCCCTGCACATATTGGTTTTTATATAATATGTATTAAACATCCTTTTCCAGAAGTGAGTATTCCTTTGACCAACTGACCAAGTTATGAATCTGAGAAGTGAGGGAAGTGCATAAATTCCAGATAAACTCACATTTGTGTACTAAGCAGTTCCAAAAAGGGTCCCACAAATTATGCTACAAACATTATTGGCAGAAGACATCTTTTTATTATGCCATTTCCTAAGTTCACACTGTAAGCCATTCCTCTCAGAATATTCTCCCAAAGATGAAACACATTCTGGGAAAGAGGATCAGTAACAAATCCTCCCCAAGCCACAATAGATATAACATCTCTCTAACAAGGCAGATGCATCCAGTCTCTACTATTCAAATATCTTTGAAATCTGACACAGTATTCCACACCAGGAAAGGATCCAAGAATTTTCTTCACTTTTTACAAGGGATTAAACATTACCGTATTAAATTCCTTTATTTGATTTAGCTCTTTCAAATAAGAAACCACAAGAATGAAACCACCCTTCAAAACAAATTTCTTGACATCATTTAGCAAAATCTTTCTTTAAAAATAATGGAGATTGATTGTTAGTATGTTCTGTTCTGACCAACTTCTTTTTGAAGAATGTGTGTGGGAAGGAAAAAAATGGAAACAACTTTGTCGCTTTAATCCAAAGCGATCAGGACAAAAAAAGCATACCCACCAAATGGGCTGTGGCATGCTAGAGCAGGGATGTCAAACTCACATCACGGTAGTGTCACGTGACGTATCGGGACTTCCCCCCCCCTTTGCTAAACCGGGCGTGGGTGTGGGGCCAGCACGTTGACGCATCCGGCCCGCGGGCCAGGAGTTTGACAGTCCTGTGCTAGAGCAACTGTAAGATAACCTTGTCGTTTTTATTGGCACACATTAAAAAGGAAATTCTGTTGCCTGCTCTCACAAGAAAGTACATATCTACCCATACATCACACACAAACACACACACATACTATATACATATATAAATACCTAGAGCCATACATAAATACATACATACATACATACATACATACATACATTAATCACTGTTCATTTTGAATACATAGTGGAAAGAGAAACTTGAGAGTTCACACACAAGGTTAATTCTCTATGGAACAAAAATGTGATTGCATTTAGATGTTCTCCTTTGGATACCACGAAGTCTCCTCCGAGAAGGTAACAAGGAAAACAGGTTGTAAAGAGTATGTGCAGCGTCCCAGACAATGCCACGGACTCTGCTCAAGCAGCGCTTACATCTATAAGAATGTGGGCTGCTAATGAATTCGTCTCGCAAATAAAACATGCAAGCAAGCAGGCCAATCATTGTGAACTTACTCAAAAGCAAAGAAGAGAGTGCACGTTCCCACAATGAGGAAGAGTGTCAAATAGAAGATGCCTTTCTGACGGGCCATCATAATGCGCCCGTCGCAACAGAATGTATTCCTTCCTGGCAGCTTCTCCCATTTCCGCGTCACTTTCTTCCTTGCTATCAACACAGACATGGCTGCACCTTCACCGAAGGTGGGGTAACTCGGTAATGGCCTGTCTCCACTCCGGCCACCGGGAAGCACACACCATCCTCAGCAATCCAGCCTCAGCCCCTGGAAAGGTAAGCAATAAGGAAAGGTCAACACAACTCCTCAGGAGCCACTTAAGATTAGGAAACTGATCCAAACTATTATTACTGGAAACAAATCCTTTCTGGCACACCCACATCCTACATTTAAGCTTTAGTCACCATGCAATTTCATTAAGCAAGACAAGTGCCTGACAAAGAAGGAAAGAATACCTGCCGTGATTCTTGGTATGAAAGAAACCTGCTCCATCCAGTATTGGGTCATCAATCATGACTTCCTCTGGCAAAGGAGACTAGTTTAAAACAATCCAAACTCACTTGGACCTCACTACATTCCTGACAAACCTTTCCTCTTATTCAGAGGATAAACAGAGAGAGACTAAGAACCGCAGCATTGTTCTACGGTATGCGAGGTTTGTTTTCCTCCTCCTGACATGTCAGTCTGGGCTACAGGGAGTAAAGCCCGATCCAGTCAAAATAATATTTCATCACTTACATTCCAATTGTAACCACAAAATGCTGCATGGATTTCTGGGCACTCATCACAAAGTTAACACCCTGAATTACACAGAGTATTCCAGTCTTTGGACCAAGCCCAGACATTCACACATGGCCTTAGTACTTCACTCCAAAGTTACCCAATGATCAAACCCACCTGCTTCCATACTAATCCAGTTCCAGAATGGTTAATAATCAACTCACTCCTCCTCTGTCTCTTTCTGCCCCACCTTTTCGCCTACTTGCTTTAAGCCACACAGACCGACAATTAGAATAAAGCATTTATAAACAAAAAAACAAAAACCTCCCCCCCCCCCCCAAGCTTTGGTTTTTGCAAAGTCTCCACCACCCACAGCCTCCCGACTCCCCAACCAGGATCCTGAACAAATAAAGCCAGGAATGGGCTTGATGAAGAAGCCTTCAACAGACCCACTCAGATTTGGAAGAGGCTCAAAATAACTTGGCTCTGCACAAAAACAAGTGCATGAGATCCACCTTTTTTTTTTTAAAGGCTCATCTCACCAACCCTTCAAGGAAAGGAGTTTGAACCCATAGCAAAGAGCATGGGGAGAGAAAAACACTCCACTGGTTAAGAGGAAAAATACGGATTCAATTTTTAAATATATTTAAATATACTTCTATATACTTCTATATACATACAGTTACACATACACACACACATTACATACATATATACATACATATATACTACACACCACACATACATACACACACAATTATGTATGTATGTATGGTATTTAGATTTCTTTGGGTATTTTCCCACGACTTTTCGGCAGTATCTCATCTGCCATCCCGAGGCTTGTGTATTATCTAGGAAAAAATCCAATACACAAGCCTGAGGATGGCAGATGAGATTCTGCTGAAAGGTCGCTATAACTTTAAAAGCACAACTATTAAGACGTGGAAAAATACCCAAAGAAACCTAAATACCATACATATAAATACCCACAAAAACATAAGAAAACTTGTGTGTGTGTGTATATATACACAAAAATAAACAAAAAGCTGTTCATATATGTATGTATGTATATGATACATATGAACAGCTTTTTGTCTCATCCACCTTCTATGATTTTGCAAGAATAAAAGGAATGGGAAGAAGAACCTCAGCTCCTCGGGAGAAAAACCAGCAGAGTTTATTCAGAGGTGAAGAACCGCTTCTGAAATTTCCCCAAAGGCAGGAGAGTCAAGGATCTCTCTGCTATCTATCTGTCTATCTCGTATTCTTTATGTTTCCACAGCAGGGAGAGCGAGGAGAGGTTCTTTTGTTCGCTTTGCTTTCTTTGGGGAGGGAAGGGTCTTGCTCCACGCTTGGCCTCCTTCCCCGCAAAAGCAACGCCAGGCGGGGCAATAAACACGGGGCCGGTTCAGCCTTTTTCCTCCCTTATTGGCACCCGCTCCTTTCTTCTTCTTCTTCTTCTCCTCCCTGCAGGCTGCCCCCCCACCCCCGCACAGCAGCCACGAGAGTCCCGGCCTCGCCCCCCACCCCCCCACGTTTCCCGGCAGACAAAGGCAAGACCTCGCCCCCCGACCCAGCAATAACAGCCAAGCCCACCCATCCACAGACCGAGATTTCCGTGCGCACCGCCCGGATCCCGACGATCCCCCCGCCCCCGACAGTGACCAACCAACCCTGACCTCGACACGCGTCTGGGCATTCCCACGTGCACGGCGGAAAGAGGTCCCCGGGGGTCGTCGTCTCCTCTCGCCAAAGGGAGGCCTGTCGGGCGCCGCACCCCAAGTGCGGCCGGGACCAGCCACACCCCCCCGGGCGGACGAGACAGACAGGGAGGCCTGAGCGGGGTCTGAGGAGGGTCTCCACACCGCACGACCCACCCACCCACCCACCCTTGCAACTAGGCCAGAGACCGGAGCACCGCCTCTCTTCGGCTTCCTACCCCCGACCGGCGCGGCTCTCACCTGCCGCTCGGCGTTGCCGGGGCTGAGACCGAGGCCGGCTGCGGCCGAGGCCTTCCTGCTTCTGTCGCGGCGCGGTTCTGAGGAGGGGGGAGTGTGAAAGAGACTCGGATGCTTATTGGCCCAGCCGCGGCTCCGCACCGCCCTCCATCTCAGATGGGCGCTGCCATTGGCCCAGCCGCCCGTCACTCAAGCTGAAGTAAAACACCGGGCGGAGCGGTGGGGGGGGGGAAGAGGAGAGGGCGAGGCTGTTTTTCTTCGGCTGGGTCCTTTGCTGCTCGGTCGGGTGGTGGGCGAGGGAAGAAAGAGGCACCGCCCGACTCGGGGGACCCTCCCGGAGACGCCAGGAGACGACTCGTTCTACAAACGGGGGCAGGATTAATAATAAAAAAATAAAAAAGGAGGTGGACTTCGTCCCCTCAGGCAGCGCCTGATGTTGTGTGGAGACTCGAACCCGCCCGCTTGGCCCCGAAGGCAGCCTTTTGATTGGTCGGGTAGCCCGTCATTTGGGAAAAGCGGCGGGGCCAGTCGTCTAGTGGGCAGGGCTGGCGGGCAAAGACCTGAAACGGAGTTGTCGATTTTTTTTTCTTCCCTCCTTGCGTCAAACTAATCAAAACGGATGGGCGGGGCCGACGTTGAATTCCTACAGTTGATTGGATCTGGGAAGCCGCGCCCCCATCACCACGGTGGCCCAGATTCTAAAGGAGGGGCGCGGTCAGCGGTAGCCCCGCCCAGCTGGCTATTAAATTGCCAGGGACCTCGCCCTGCAATCGGAATGAAGGATGGAAGAGCGAAGTCTGCATTGGAGTCCATTCCCAAAGCCTGGGAATGGGCAATCGCCAATTTGCATAAAATTCAAATAATTAGCATAGGGGCGTGCCCGCACAGGGCGAGAGCGGCCCCTGGACTGTAATTCCAAATGAAGAAAGGGGAAGAGGGCGGAAGTGCTGCAAAAGTCCGGCTTCAAAGGCGGAACTGCCGGTGCGTTTTGCGGCCGAGAGGGCTCTTAGCACGTGTTCTGTAGCCTGTTCGGAAAGTGAAGGTGGTTCCCGTGTTTGGCTGGCAGTGGAGGAGTTTCTGTGGGTTTCCCCCCCTACATGGAGACTATGGAAGAGGAAGATCCCTCCGAGAGGGAGCTGATCCCGAGCGAGGAGGACGAGGTGGAAGAGGTGAGCTCTCCCAGAAAAGATCCCTTGGTGACTTCTCTTTATTCTCTAAGTTTGACTTTATGTAATCGTTCTCTGCACGGGATCGGATAAGTGGCAAGGATGCATTTCCACGACCGATGGCTGCCTTTGCCTGCATTGAATGCACTGGAGTGAATTGGGAAGTTCTGCAACTGTAGCATGATCGATACAATTAATGCGCTTTGAGTTAATTGGGGAACTGTGTAGAACAAGGGTCTTCAAACTTGGCAAGTTGAAGACTTGTGGGCTTCAACTCCCACAATTCCCCAGCCAGCCAGGACCTGACCTGGGGGTGCCCACATTGCAGCCCTGGTTAAAAGGGTCCAGCAGAGATTATACTATCTGAGACTTATCAGAAAACAACTGAATGAAAAACTGCTGGTGACCTACCGTTGCACCATAGAGAGTATCTTAACATACTGCACCTCTGTATGGTTTGCTAATTGCACAGTGGCAGATAGGACAGCACTGTAGAGGGTTAACGTCATTGCCCAGAGGATCATGGGTTGCCCTCTCCCCTCTTTGGAAGAGCTTCATAGCGCTCGCTGCCTTAAGAGAGTTCAAAACATTCTCAAAGATCCATCTCATCCTGGGAACCCTTTTTTTTTTTTTTTGAACTATTAACATCTGGCAGACAGTACAGGATAATAAAAACAAAGACCAATAGGCTGAAAAACAGCTTCTATCCCAGGGCAGTAGCTCTTTTGAATTCTGCTGTATACAGTGTTGGTGTGGTGTCAGGGGTTTCCGATTCAATGTGTGAAGGGTGAAGGATGTGTGTTTGTGTTTATTTTCATGGTCATGGTCATGATGTGCACTGAAGATGGTATTTGATTTAATTGTACAAGGTGCAATTACAGTAAAGTAAAGTAGATAGTCCTTTGGTCTAATCCAAGGGTCTTCAAACTTGGCAAGTTTAAGCCTTGTGGATTTCAACTCCCAGAATTCCTCCTCCAGTCTTGTTAGCTCAGGGATTCTGGGAGTTGAAGTCCACAAGTCTTCAAGCGGTCAAGTTTGAAAAGCCCTGCTGTAGACATTCATCCAGGTCATGGTTGTCCCAAAGGGGCTTATTCTCTGAAGATGTTTTGCTTCTCATCCCAGAAGCTTCTTCAGCTCTGACTGGATGGTGGGGAATGGAAGGATTTATATTCCTTGCAGACAGCTGGTCATTTGCATCCTTTTAGAGGGTCGTTGAGGCCACTTGGAGGTTTATCTGTGTCCTCAGCAGAGGTGGTATTCAGCAGGTTCTGACAGTTGTGGAGAACCGGTAGCGGAAATTTTGAGTAGTTCAGAGAACCAGCAAATACCACCTTTGACTGGATATTTTACAGTATCCTTCCCCTGCCACGCCCACCAAGCCATGTCCACAGAACCGGTAGTAAAAAAAATTGAATCCCACCACTGGTCCTCAGGGTCGCCTGAGTAGGGCAAATGGTTCCTATAGTCTGCAATTTTTTATTCTACAAATCCATTCCAACTCCCATACCATTCAAAGGGTGTTCATCCCAAATCGTATAGCTAAAAGCTGCTGTTTTTTCTTTTGAAGACATTTCACTTCTCATCCAAGTTTTGACTGGACAGTGGGGAACGGACGGACCGGCTGAATCCCACCCCTGTGTTCATGCCTTATTTTACTGTGACAGAGAGAGAGTCAGAAACCAATGCTTCTTTTCCTTCCTCACTTCTCTTCCCCCTTTTCCTCCCCACTGCTTTTCTATTTATTTTTTGTATTTTGCAATATTTTATAACTCGATAAAATGTTAAGCTGAGTTCTTGCTCATTGGGAGTCAATTTTGTTCCCCAGGTGGATGAGGAAGGGGCAGCCAAGAAGCACCGGCAACTGGTAGACGCCCTCACTGCCTTGGTTGGTGGGAAGAGGTAAGAGAAAAAGTCCTTGGAGAGGGAGAACAAGCCATCCTCAAAGGTTACTATGCCATCCTTTCCCACTAACAAGTTGGTTACTGTTGTTGCTGCAGGCGGCGGAAGGTCGAACGTACTGAGGCTAGTGCACAGATTTCAGAATTCGATGTGGGTGGCGAAGGTAAGAATTTTTTCCACCGGCTTCTCGCTGTTAAGTCCATACGACATCTTTTGATTATGTGCTATCGCTTTTGACTCCTTGGGATCACACAGTAAACATTTTACTCCACAACAGTCTATAGGTAGTCCTCGTCTTATGACCACAATTGAGCCCAAAAGTTTATGTTGGCTTAAGGGAGACATTTGTTTAGTGAGTTTTGCCCCATTTTACGAGCCTTCTTGCCACTGTTGCTAAGTGAATCATTGCAGTTGATAGCAATAGCAATGGCACTTGGACCTATATACCGCTTCGCAGTGCTTTTACAGCCCTCTTTAAGCAGTTTACAGAGTCAGCATATTACCCCCAACAATCTGGCTCTTCATTTTACCCACCTTGGAAGGATGAGTCAAACCTTGAGCCAGTCAAGATCAAACTGCTGGCAGTGGGCAGAATTAGCCTGCAACACTGCATTCTAACCACTAGGAAGGAAGGCAGGAAGGAAGGGCAATAGCAATAGCCCTTAGACTTAGATACCACTTCACAGTGCTTTCCAGCCCTCTCTAAGCGAGTCAGCCTCTTGCCCCCAACAATCTGGGTCCTCATTTTACCAATCTCAGAAGGATGGAAGACTGAGCCAACCTCGAGCCTGGTGGGATTCGAACTGCCAAATTGCAGCCAGCTGGCAGTCAGCAGAAGTAGCCTGCAGTCCTGCACTCTAACCACTGCGCCACGGAGGCTCATAAAAGACTGATAAAAGTTACTAGCCTGATTGTTGAGTGAATCTGGCTTCTCCATTGACTTCGCTTGTTAGAAGGTTGCAAAAGGGGATCACATGGTCTTAAGGCAGTGGTGGGATTCCAATAATTTAACAACCGGTTCCCTGCCCTAACGATTTCTTCCAACAACCAGTTTGACAAACTGCACAGAAAGTTAACCGGTTCTCCCGAACTGCTCCGAACTGGCTGAATCCCACCGCTGATCTTGGGACATACCGACGGTCATAACGTATGAATCGCTTTGCCAACCGTCTTAATTTTGATCACACGGTTGTGGGAGTGCTTCAAAGGCTGTAACGGTGAAAATTGTGCGTAGAATAACAATGTGGGCTTCAACCTTCCCGACTCGGAGATATCCTTGCCTTTTGCAGGCGCCGGTGAGAAAGTCCAGCTCTCGGAGCTGCTGCAACCGGTTTCTGCGGTGCCAGCTCTGCGCCCTGTTCAAAAACAGCTGAAAAAAGCCCAGCAGAAAAAACCAACTGAAATCCCACTGAGTAAGGAAGAGACGGAACGGGTAAGTTCAGAAGGAAGGGATTGGGCAGTATTATTTAGTTGGAGTATCTGTTGTTGGTAGGAATTTGCATTCTGCGTTGATGGCTTCATCCGTAGGTTCGTATAGGAAACTTCTAAAGAGATATTTTTTTTTCCATGCTGTAGAAATGGTGACCACATTTAAACAGATTCTACCCTCTCTCGCTGCTCTCTAAAAAGCCTTTTTTGGACTAGCATCTGCGCTGAAATTGTGACTGTCCTTCCCATTGCATCATTTATTAATTTATCTCAGTTGTTATTTATTACTAGCTCTATACCCATGCTTTGCTACGAAACGATGTGATCGGGCTTAGTTTTTGAGGTGGAAAATAAGGGGGGGAAAATTGTGTCTCTGCCTACCATCATCCATTGATATTCATCTGGCTAGCGTCCTGTCAGTGTGTGAGAGAATTGAGGGCTATTTGGAAACTGAAATATGGAAACTGAAACAGTATTTGCTGTATGAGCAAGAAGAAGACAGGAAGGAGCCTGGGCGTTGCTGAGCTCAACTATTCTGTACTAAAGCTGGTTGCTGCTGTGAAACAAATTGAAAGTGAAACTCCTCTGCTTGTGTTTTGCATTTGGAACAGATTTCTTTTCAGGTGGGGAGGGGGAGTAGAACTCCTTAGCATCAGAGCATGTTAATAATAGTAATATAGGAAATACTAATGCTCTGATGGTCATTTCGAAAAATCCTTTCTTAGTGAACACCTAGAAGCCAAGAGGAACATATGTGCCAAATGTCAAGTTTGTAGGCTTTACGGTTGTGGAGATTTTGTGATGATGCACGAGTGGTATTTTGCTTTTATATAGAGAGATTTTATATTTTATACTAGAATTTTTAATTGTATATTTACTGAGTGTTTTTATTTGTACTGGTCTCTGGTCTATGACTGTTATAAACTCCTAATTTATCTCATATTTGAAGACCATCCATTACCCTCGCAGAGTGTACTCTGGGCAGTGTACACATAGGTTAAGAAAAACCTAAAAACTGTGAATAAATATTATAAAACTAAAACTATATTAAAAAAAATAAAACAAAAACAAGAATCAAACAACTAAAATTCAGAATTAACAAAAAGGCCGTAAAAACGCCTTTTGGTCTGTAACGGCTTTTTTGCAATTGATCGTTGCCCCTTGTAACGTCTCCTTCATGGGATGCTTTGACAATTGGAGCCCACGGTTTGTCCGCAGGTGGTCAGGGAAGCCGCTTACACTCAGACAGCCGAAGCCTTGAACAAATGGGATCCCGTCGTGAAGCAGAACCGGAGGGCTGAGCAGTTGGTCTTCCCACTGCAGCAGGAGAGCGTGAGCATTTTGCCCATTGAGGAAGTGATGTCAGGTTGGCAGGTGAGTGTTATTTGGACCCGATGATGATTAAAGTTGGCCAGTCCCAGCTGAAGCAATGTGATCATTCCCCTAAGACAGGGGTGTCAAACTCGAGAGTTCATTGAGAGCCACATCAGATTTGACCACCAAGATGGTCCCCGCTGTTGTGTAGATTGCCTTCAACAATAGTAGCCACCTTTCATGGCTTCTTCAACCTCCCTCAAACCGAGCCTGAACTTACGCACTTTATGTCCTCCATGCTCATTTTGCAGGCACGGACTCCCTTGGAGCAAGAGATCTTCAGCCTTCTCCACAAAGCCCAGCAGCCGGTGAAGGATCCGCTTTTGACCCCCCAGGAAAAAGTCTCGTTGAAAGCCATGAGCCTGGAAGAGGTAAACCTTGATCTGGCTGAGCCCCTCCCACCCTCCACCTTGCCTGCCCTGTCACTCTGTGACTCTGTGCGGGGACCTAACGGAACGTCTAGCCAGTTCTTCTCTGCTTCTTCCGTGCATCCCAGGCTAAGCTGCGCAGAATGGAGCTCCAGAGAGCCCGGGCCTTACAGTCCTACTACGAAGCAAAAGCCCGACGAGAAGGGAAGATTAAGAGTAAAAAGTAAGGAGGGTTGGAATGCCCCGGGTGGGAAGGGGTTGGAAGGTCAGGAGTGAGGGCTTCCCTTGAATGGGGCAAATGGAATAGGAATAAGAAGAATGGAATGGAATACAAGAATAGAATGGAATGGAATGGAATAGAATAAGGAATGGAATGGAATAGAATAGAATATTGGATAGAATAGAATAGAATATTGGATAGAATAATAAAGTAGAATATAGTATAGTACAGTACAATACAATAAGGAATAGAATAGAACGGAATATAATATTAGAGTAGAATAGAATTTGGAATATAATATAGTAGAGTAGGGGATGGGATGGAATAGAATAGAATAGAATATTGGATAGAATATAATAAAGTAGAATACAGTATAGTACAGTACAATACAATAAGGAATAGAATAGAAAGGAATATATGAGTAGAATAGAATTAGGAATATAATATAATAGAGTATATAATAGAGTAGAGTAGGGAATAGGATGGGATGGAATAGAAATAGAAATAGAATAGAATAGAATAGAATAGAATAGAATAGAATAGAATAATAAAGGAGAGGAGAGAAAATAGGAAATAAAAATTGAGAATAGAATAGAGAAAATATAGAAAATAGAATAGAAAATAGAATAGAGGAGATGAGAAAAAATAGAATAGAATAGAGGAAATAGAAAATAAAAATAGCAAATAGAATAGAGAAAATAGAAAATATAGAGGAGAGGAGAGAAAATAGAATAGAATAGAAATAGAATAGAACAGAAAAAATAGGTGGAGAGAAAATAGGAAATAAAAATAGAATAGAATAGAGAAAATAGAATAAAGAAAATAGAAAATATAGAGGAGAGGAGAGAAAATAGAAGAATAGAATACAATAACAGGATAGTAATAAGACTAGTAATAAGAACGGAATGGGGGTGTAATATGGAAACCTCCAGAGGACGAAGGCTCCTTGGCTCTCCTTCAGTGCTTTGTCCCCTTGGCTTGCGTTGCCTTCCTTGAATCCAGAAGTGGCGGCAACTCTTCCGTCACAGCTGGGTTGGTTGCATCCATGGCATTCCTCTCCTTCTCACCCCAAGGTTCCACAAAATACTTAGGAAGGGGAAGAGTCGGAAGGTCCTGCAGGAGTTTGAGACGCTGCGGAAATGCAACCCGGAGGCTGCCCTGGAGCAGCTGGAGAAGATTGAGAAAGCACGGATTGAGGTCAGGCTGGTCTTCTTCTGAATGAAGCTGAAATGAGGCCTCTCTGCTTCGAGATAAAGATACAAGCAATTCTTGGTTTCGGGGACATCAATGCTCTGATGCGCTGACCTTCCTGTCTGTCTGTCTACAGGAGCGGATGAGCCTCAAACACCAGAATAAGGGCAGATGGGCCAAGTCAACTGTCATTATGGCCAAGTATGACCTCCAGGTGAGAGTCCATTGGAGCAGGTTTCATCTGAACCTATTGAGATGTTAAGTTGTGGTGGCGCAGTGGTTAGAATGCAGTACTGCAGGCTAATTCTGCTGACGGCTGACTGCCTGCAGTTTGGCAGTTCAATTCTGACTGGCTCAAGGTTGACTCCGCCTTCCATCCTTTTGAGGACCCAAATTGTTGGGGGCCATATGCCGATTCTGTAAACTGCTTAGAAAGGGCTGTAAAGCACTGTGAAATGGTATATAAATCTAAGTGCTATTGCTATTCCTCCCTCCCTTCCTCTTATTCCCTTTCTTATTCTCCTTCCTGTGGTTAGAATGCAGTATTGCATGCTGACTCTACCGAAAGCCAGGAGTTCAATCTTGACCATCTCTAGGTTGACTCAGCCTTCCATGAAGCAGTATATAAGTCTAAGTGCTATTGCTATTGTCCCTTCCTTCCTTCCTTCCTTCCTTCCTTCCTTCCTTCCTTCCTTCCTTCCCAGTGGTTAGAATACAGTTTTGCAGGCCGACTCTGCTCATTGCCAGCATTTCAATCTTGACCAGCTCAAGGTTGACTCAGCTTTCCATCCTTCCAAGGTTGGTAAAATGAGGACCCAAATTGTTGGGGGCAAGAGGCTGACTCTATAAACCACTTAGAGAGGGTTGCAAAACACTATGAAGTGGTATATAAGTGCTATTGCTATTTAATGTAGTCAGTCCCAGTAGTTCTACGTTCATCTCAAGAAAGAGGTGAAACCCCATTCTAAAGGAGAAAATTGTAAGGAAATTGTGCATACTGGTTCATTCATTAATGTCTGCTTTTTGCAGGAATTTCTGACTTCGAAGGTTTTTGGAATACCAGATGCCAAAAGTGGCTTCTCCATAAGTTTTACTGTTTAACACCTCATCCCTAGTAGATACCGAGCCAAAAACATGCTTTATAAATTACAAGTTGGCCTAGCATATCAGCTAGGATACATTATTGTCATCCTGCACAACTTGCGTTTTGCCTCTTGTTCCTTTTTTTTGTTCCTGGTTTGGATTGGTGATCTCTGAAAATTTAGATAAAAGCAATGAAGTCAAAGTGAGACCTGCTTTGTGTTCATCTAACTATATATATATATATATTTGGCTGCTACGTGGTGATTTCTGCCTTTTTTTATTTCCCAGGCTAGGCAAGCCATGCAAGAACAGCTGGCTCAGAACAAAGAACTAACCAAGAAGGTCTGTCCTGCCTCAGAAAGCGAAGAGGAAGACGTAGGAGACAACCCTGAAGCTGAGAAAGATCTTGTTCCAGATGTCGTCAATGAGAGGCATGTCGGAATGGCTTCTGGCAACCCCTGGATGTTAGGAAGAAGCCCTGAAGAGTCCAAGGAGAAGCTAAATCTCCCAGCAGAAGACAGCGGAGAGAGTGAGGGAGAAGAAGAAGAAGAACCACTCATGGCCAACGAGAAGGACCCGTCTCGAGATTCTGACGGACGGTGGCAGAGCCTGAAATGTCAAGAAGACAGGGCTGGGTTTCAAGGTGAGCTGCCAAAGTATCCAGAAAAAGGTTTAGTCATATCTCTGGGGTTCTCTGTAGGTCAGGAGTCTCCAAACTGTGCAACTTTAAGATTTAGGGACTCCAACTCCCAGAATTCCTCAGCCATGCTCCATCAAATTTGTACCTGGGCTAGAGAATCTGTGGGCCTCCAGATATTAGTGAACTAAGGTTTTTATCAGGTTGGCCTTGAGTGAGGAATGTTAGACGACAAGTGGAAACCTTCAGATTCCCCTTCACTGATAACTGGTGTACTCTTCAGCGTGGTTTGCATGTTGTATGACCCCCCCCCCCCCCCCCCCCTCTCCTGCACAACCTGCGCCAACTGGGTTGCTATAGAGAACCATAAATCGGGTATTTTGGCTGACTTTGCATGGCGCAAGTAGGCTAGGATGTAGTTGGCTGGTTTGGGGTTTTGAGTGTCTGCACAACCAGGTAGTGTACTTGGGTCAGCCTTACGAGGTAATCTAGACAAGCCGCATGAAGTATGTCTGCTCTGTTGCCTGAGGTTACATTAACAGAATCTTGCAGGTTTGAAAGTATATTTTTCCCCTCGCCTCTGCAGCCTGAGACACTAAAGAGGATCCCTGCTGAGATGTTGGCCGTGTTCCCATTCCTTCTGTGGGCTCAGCTGCCTCTTATCTGACCATTGTGTAGTCTGCAGCTCTTCCCTTCCGTCTCCCAAGGTCATTCCTACACACCATCATGAACCATACTAGATGAACCCAATACAATCGGAGTGATTTGGGCTAGTCAAGGGTGTTTGTCATGCAAACATAAGCGATGTTATCCTAGCACAGGGGTGTCAAACTGAAGGCCCCCGGGGACCCGGATGCGGCCTGTGCGGGTGCTTAAAACTGGTCCGCTGGGCCACCTTGCAAACAGCAAAGAACCAGCCCACAGTGTCCCTGCCATCGAAATGGAGGTCAGTTTTCACTGGCAGAGGGCTGCAGGAGGCTGTTGCAGCTGAAAACGGCCTGGGGGAGCATGTGAGGCCCACCTGGGCTCCGTTTTCACTGGCAAAGGGCTGCAAGAGGGCGTTGTGGCCCAAAACGGAGCTTGGGAGCCCGTTTTCTCTGGCAGCGTGCTCAGGTGCCCCCGACACAAGTGATGTCGAGCTGGCCACGCCCCCCCCCCCGCAGTCCCTGAGATCAAACACAACCCTGATGCTTCCCTCAATGAAATTTGAGTTGGATACCCCTGTCCTAGCACACGTGTGAACCTACCTGAAATGAGAGTTCTGCCTTAGTCCGCGCTGGCAGCCTTGCACCGTGCATACTACCTTGATTCTTCTGGCGCAGAACCTGGCAGAGAAGAGGTGCCACCGGAGGCTCCGCCCAGCCCCCCATCAGGGGACCAGCCCTTCCTGAGCGAGAAGCTGAAACGGATCCGCACCCTGGAGGACCTGGAGGAGGGCCTGGAGCCAGAAGACACTCCACAAGCAGACGAGATGCTGCCCCCCAAAGAGACCCCGGCCGCCCAGCCGGCGAGTGCCGAGTCCCTGCCCCAGCCCCCGATCAGCAAGTCCAGGAAGTCAGCCAAGCAACAGGCCCTGATTGATCTCAAGGCGGTTCTTGCTGGAGCACCGTGTGCCATGCAGTGCCCGCTTGTGCCCGCTGCTGTGCAGGAGGAGGTGAGTGTCAGTGGGGTAGGAGGGCAGCCTATTCAGGTGGAGGGCAGGACGAAGGCACCGCCATTGGGTATTTTCCAAGGAAGGAGAATATTTGCAGCTCAGGGTTGACATGAAGGGGCCCTTGGCACTCTCCAAGCTTGCTTGTTCCCTTGCAGACGTTTCATGGCTCATCTAGGTAACGCCATCAGTGCTAGAATAAAGTGGGGTGTGTGGAGAGGAGGAGGAAGAGGAGAATTGCAGGGTCCTTGCTGCTCTCTGAGCTCGGTTGTTTTCTTGCAGACGTTTCATGACCCATCTAGGTAGCGCCATCCGTGCTAGTGATCTTATCTCCTCTTAGCACTAATGATGTTACCCCCCAACCCTCCTCCTCCTCTGTACACGCCCCACTTTATTCTAACACTGATGACGTTACCTAGATGGGTCATGAAACAAGCTTGCAGCAGTGGCAGATATCTGCAGCGGAGGGTGAAGAGCTGTTCTGTCAGCTTGTGGTTTCATCACCAAACTTAGATAACATCTTCAGCGGAGTTTAGAGGATGTCATACCTAACACACCCACCCCCGGAGCCCTTGTAAGCGAAAGAACACCGACACGGACATCCCCTAAACTCCGCTGAAGATGTTACCCAGCCTGGTGACGAAACATTTTGCAACCAAGCCACAAGCTCGGAAACGAACGAAGGAATTTTCATCCTCAAAACAAGCGAGCTCAGGGAGCCCCAGGTTATTTTCCTGGTGGGCTTAATGCTCTCTCCCTCCGTTATCTCCACCACGGTCCTGTAGAGTAGGCTGAACTGAAGAGAGCAGGACTTGACACTCCTGACTGAACTGATCTGACTAGTGGCAGGAAGCAACCAAGAGCCCCCAGTGGATGTTGGCTTGGGTCTAGCAACTGGGGCCTAAGCTCAGTTGAAACTGGTCAGAATGGGCTTCAGCAGTTCCTCCGTACGAACTGCCCCTTTCACTCATTCCAAGGTTGAGCCCAGATCACATTAACCTAAATTAGAAAGACAAGAGAGGTCATGGCCTGTTACGAGATTAAGCCGGCGGCTCCCCTGGGCTTCTTTCGTGTGGAAGAAACTGAGATAATGCTTTTGTTCTTGAACTGGCCACACGTCTCTCAGTTTCTCCTAGCTGTGGACGCTCTACTTTGTGGTGCATTAAGGACAGCTCAAGGGACGTGGTGGCTCAGCGGCTAAGACGCTGAGCTTGTCGATCAGCAAGGTCGGCAGTTCGGCGGTTCGAATCCCTAGAACCGCGTAACGGAGCGAGCTCCCATTCCTCATCCCAGCTTCTGCCAACCTAGCGGTTCGAAAGCACGTAAAAAATGCAAGTAGAAAAATAGGGGCCCCTTTGGTGGGAAGGTAACAGCGTTCTGTGCACCTTTGGCGTTGAAGTCATGCCGGCCACATGACCGCGGGAATGTCTTCGGACAGCGCTGGCTCTTTTTCATTGTTCCCTTTTGGATGGGGAAACCACACGTCCATTTCCTCCTGCATCTCTGTAACTGAAAGGATCGGAAGCACTTGCTGGCTGGAAAGGGCCAAGTGTCCTCCAGCAAATTGTCTCCTCTGAGGACACAACAGGGAGGCAGGGGCTCAGGGGCTAAGACGCTGAGCTTGTCAATCAGAAAGGTGGGAAGTTTGGTGGTTCGAATCCCTAGCGCTGCGTAACGGAGTGAGCTCCCATTCCTCGTCCCAGCTTCTGCCAACCTAGCAGTTCGAAAGCACGTAAAAAATGCAAGTAGAAAAATAGGGACCCCTTTGGTGGGAAGGTAACCGCGTTCCGTGCGCCTTTGGCGTTTAGTCCTGCCGGCCACATGACCACGGAGACGTCTTTGGACAGCGCTGGCTCTTCGGCTTTGTAACGGAGATGAGCACCGCCCCCTAGAGCCGGAAACGAGTAGCACGTAGGTGCCAGGGGAACCTTTGCCTTAAGGAGAGCTCAAACCACAGCTCCCTGGGATTGGACTTCATGGGGGAGCAGGTTATAAGAGGTGCATGGAGCCCCTGTGGATTGGTGGTTAAGACACGAGGCTAGAAACCAAGAGGCTGTGAGTTTTACTCCAAGCGCCTCGTCCTATCTCCGACCATAAAACCTGCTGAGTGACCTTGGGCCAGTCACTCTCTCCCTGCCTTAGGAAGGAGGAGGAGGAGGAGGAGGCAAGGACAAACCACTTTGGAAATCTTGCCAAGAAAACCTGCAGGGATGAATCCTGGCGTTCCAAGAGTTGGTTGCTCACCCAAAGAGCACCGAAGGAAGGAAGGAAGGAAGGAAGGAGCAGCAATCTGGGCTGGTCCTCAGAATAAAACCAGATAAACAATCTGCCCCTGAGATAAATTAAGAGCGTGCTTCTTAACGTTCATATATAAAGGAGAATATTTGTGGCCCAAGTGGACAGGAGAGGTCCATGGTGCTCTCTGAGCTTGGACGTTTTCTTGCAGACGTTTCATGACCAAACTAGGTAATGTCATCAGTGCTCTGATCAGTGATGACGTTACCTAGTTTGGGTAAGGAAACGTCTGCAAGAAAACAAGCTGATAATGTTTAATTTTTTTAGCTTATGTGGGACAGAACTGTTGGGAGAGAAAAGACTACAAACACTTTATTTGCTCCATTCCTTGCTATTTCATCCCCTTTCATGGTCCAACACGATCTTTATAGCAAGTTCTAAGTTCCTAGAATAGACATAGACATGGGAATAGGGATAGAATTAGAATTAGAATTAGAATTAGAATTAGAATAGAATAGAATAGAATAGAATAGAATAGAATAGAATAGAATAGAATTCTTTATTGGCCAAGTGTGATTGGTCACACAAGGAATTTGTCTTTGGTGCATACGTTCTCAGTGTACATAAAAGCTATAAATGACAGATCATGGTCAATCATCATAAACAACATTAATCAAGAATCATAAGGTACAACACTGAGTGATAGTCATAGATACTAAATAAGCAGTTAAAATTATATTAGGAAACTTTAAACAAAACACTATAAATCGTAAAGATGCAAGCAACAAGGTTATAGTCTTAAGTCGGAAAGGAGATAGGTAATATAGGATGAGAAGAATAATAGTAATGCAGTCTTAGTAAATAGTTTGACAGTGTTGTGGAAATTAGTTATGCAATATTTGAACTTTTTTTAAAATTCACATTTAAAATAGCCCAGAAAGCCACAGCTATAACCTTCATCCATTGCCTCGCCTGTTGACTGAGAACCTAAGCAGCAGCAGCTTCACCAGAGCCTCTTTTGAGTGTATGACTGTAACTTTGTCACTTGTATCCTAATGATTTTTATTGACTTTCCTAGTATGATTTGATTGCTTATTGTACCTTATGGCTAGTATTAAGTGTTGTACCTTATGATACTTGACTCTTGATGAATGTCTCTTTTATGTACACTGAGAGCATTTGCACCAAGACAAATTCCTTGTGTGTCCAATCACAATTGGCCAATGAAGAATTCTATTCTATTCTGTTCTGCTTTGTTCTGTTCTATTCTATTCTTATTCTTATTCTAATTCTAATTCTTATTCTATTCTATTCTATTCTGTGCTATTCTATTCTATGCTATTCTATTTCATTCTATTCTATTTATTTCCCTGGGCAGCTGGAGTCCAGTGCAAGCCAGAGGCAGATGATCCGAGAGGCTTTTGCGAGCGACAACGTCTTGGATGACTTCCTGAAAGAGAAGCGAGCAGCTGAAGAAGCCGGCAAACCGAAAGTCATTGACCTGGTCCTTCCTGGATGGGGCGAGTGGGGAGGCGCGGGGCTGCATCCAAGCAAAAAGAAAAAGAAAAGGTACTTTGGGGGGAG